CCAAATTGAGCATTGATATAGTTGCAGCAATAGGAATGTACTCGTACGCAAAACTATCAAAAGTTTTAGAATACTTTTAGTGGTTTTGCGTTCTCGTACCCAAAAAACTTGCAAAGTAGGGGAAATTGAGAGAGCGAAATGTGACAGAGAGCTGCAAATTTCTTCTGGAACAATTTTTCCCAGCGAAAACTTCCAAGTAAGAAAATCAGCTGATCACAAACATATGTTTGTAAATAAACAAAAGAAAATATGACCTTTTTGAATTATTTATGGCAATTTTTATTAATGCTAGTATACACGAAAAAGAGAGTAAAGTTATTAAGCACAAGGTTTGTTGAGTTTATTTTTAGTTAATTTACTAATAATCTCCAGTTTGTTTACTTTAGTGTGTGCTGGCTATGGTTGCTGTATGTCATTTTTCGTTTGTACCATAATTGGCCTTTAAATATACCAAAATAGATAAAAATGCAGCAAGCTGAAATTTTGTTGGCCGAATTTGTCAGTTTTGGTAGATTGATTATTGAAATTCGAATTTTAAAATTTTAAATGAATATTTGTAGCATCTACATAAATGTACATTTGTAGATATCTATTAATTTTTTTTTTGGATCAAGGATGGGTGTTTGGAGGATATTCTCTTTCTTTGAGAAAAATATTTCTTTCATTCCGATATAAATAATTTGTATTTTAAAAGGGGATTTCGATTCCAAAAGTATGCAATTGTATAAAATGCAAAATCGGGGAAAATGTACCAAGCAGAAAATATTGGCAAATAAACCACCAGTGGCAACTGTGGAAGTGATCAGCTGTTTCGAAGGTTGCAAGTTTTGCATATTTTGCGTTCTCGTACTTCTGTGGATATTTTGTCTCTTTGAGAGTGAATGCTGCTGAATTCTCAGAATTTTTTCTGCTGGACAATTTTGTCCTCTCAATACGAGAACACACCTAATATTATATACAGTCCAAGGCATAAAAGATAACGGTTATACTTTTTGAACCGCAAGAACAAATGTACCAATTGAATTGGTGAATGCAATTAATTTTTGTACTTAGTACCTCTAAATAGTATGCAGTACACAATACTCATATGTGTAATAAGAAAATGTTGAGTAATTTGTTCGGATTTTGAGGATGCTTCGTTTGTTTTTGAGGAATTTGGTCATTTCTTTGTGGCAACACTGACACGACTTATAAATAAATACGTGAGAGTCGATCGGCTCCGTTTGGCTCACGTGTGCACCACTGGGCTAGAGATACTATTCTATGCGAAAGCAATTTTGTTAATTGCATACGATTTGCACCGTTCATTCGATTTTCAAAAATTAGGTGTCAAATAAAAGGGCTTGGCCTCTAGATGAGCAGTAAGTATATATTAGGGGTATTCTCCAAGTATTGTACAATGAACGGATTGCACGAAATGCCAAAAATTCTATTCCAACTTTGGAAGAGTACGAGAGCACCCCATTGCAAAGTGGTAGCATGTATAGGCAGCAAGCAGCGAAATTCTGTATCAAATACAATCACCCGTATGCTGTAATCCGAAAGTTCGTAGTTACGAATTCGTAGCTCCATGCCGAAAATTCGAAAATTGGTATGCTGTAATCCGATCGTAACTATCAAAGGCGTTGCCAACTAAAATAGTGAAATTCGAAGTTCTTAATTAGCTGCTTTGACAGAAACAAATCAAAATAAATATAATCGCAAGTGAACAGTGAAATTAAAAAAAATGTTTAATCGTATTTGAAAAGGCCTTTCCTCAATTAAGTAAACTATAATGGATTCAGTGGCCGGCGCACTTTTGTCTCAGGAGAAACAACGTGCTGCAGCCATCTGTTTAAATTAATTAATATGCAAAGGAGATTGCTACGAGACAGTTCTGATCCATTTATTTATTNGTTTAAAAATGATTTATTTATTTATTTATTTAGTCTAATAAACTTATAAAAGTTCCTTACAGACTAATAACAAAATTCAGCTTAGTTACTAAATAATAATAGATAAGAACTAGAAAATGGAATCCAAGGAGTTTTTAAAAACATCTAATGAAAATGCAAAATCGATTGAAACATTGTTCGAAATCATATTAAGTTCGTTTAAAGCTCGTGGAATAGGGGCATTACGGGAATATTCAGTTTTGCCGCCGTAGAATGGTAAGAAGTTACGCAGGTTTCGCTGAGGAATATTAAAATTAATTTTTTCCAAAAGAACACGACAATCAATAACACCTCTAATTAAATTAAAAGTAAAAGATAAAGATAGTACAGATCTTCTAGCTTCTAAAGACTTCAGACTTATTAAAAGTAAACGTGATCTATATGATGGCAAAGGTTCTGAAAAATTTAGGGTACGTAGTGAAAACTTCAAGAAGACCTTTTGAACACGTTCAATCCTACTAATTAAATAGTTTTGTGAAGGTCTCCAAATAATTACGGCATATTCTAAATTTGACCGAACAAAAGAGGTATACAGTAATTTTAGCGTGTAGGGATCAGAAAATTTTGTGGTATTACGCCTTACGAAACCCAGCATCGCATACGATTTAGCAACAATGTGAGAAATATGGCTGCTGAAAGTAAAATTCGAAGAAAAAATTACTCCAAGATCTTTGATTTCGTTAATTGATTCTAAAACAGAATTAGATATTATATAACTTGTAGGCACAGTTTTGTGTATTTTTGCGTACGTAACTTTGAAACATTTTTTAATATTCAAGGCAAGAATATTTTTAGTGCACCAAACATGTAGGTTGTCTATTTCAGCCTGAAGCTGAACTGAATCAGCCGGACTTTTTATTATAGAAAAAACTTTCAAGTCGCCAGCGTATAGCAAAAAATTAGCAAAAGAAAAGCAATGGCTTATATCATTGATAAATAATATGAAGAGCAAAGGGCCTAATATACTCCCTTGGGGTACCCCAGAAGTGGCTATAAAAGGCTCAGAAGTTACACCTTCTACTGTGACAACACAACGCCTATCACTTAAATACGATTTAATCCATTGCAAAAAAATTTAATGGAACCCCAAGGAGGCTAAATTACGAATTAAATTCACGAATGACAAACCTTGTCGAAAGCCTTCGAAAAATCTGTGTAAATGCAGTCAACTTGAAACCCTTCTGCAAAAGATGCAATACAATACTCACTAAAAACTGCAAGATTAGTAACCGTTGATCGATTAGCAACAAAACCGTGTTGATAAGGCAAAATCAAACTCTTCGTTACAAAATTAAATTTTTTAACTACAATAGTTTCAAAAAGTTTAGATACAGACGATAACTTTGATATTGGCCTATAATTGCAAACATCACTTTTGTTCCCACTTTTAAAAAGAGGGTTGATGGAAGTTATTTTCCAGTCATCTAAGAAAACCCCAGAGGCTAGAGACATATTATAAATTATTTTCAATGGGATAACTAAACCAGGACAGTTTTTAAACAGGACGGCTGAAAAGCCATCAATATCCGTCTTCACAGACAGTTTTAACTTGGAGATACCGTTGGCAACGTCATTGAAAGACAAACTTTGGGATCCAAAACAAAAAGATGAATTAGCCGTAAAGTTAAAGTCTGCTGAGGGCGTGCAAACATCCTGGGTAAAATTCGAACCGAAAAATTCAGCAAAAAGATTGGCGATATCTGCGGGACAGTGAGCATATTTGTCATGAAAAAAAACAGCAGATGGTATACCGGAACTAGATTTTTTCGCTTTAATGAAATGCCAAAAAGACTTCGGGTTGGATTTAATTTTTGATTCAACTTCAAGCAAATAGTTTCTGTAAAGAAATTTTTCTAAACAACTAAATTGCTTTTGAAATTTTTTATATTTAACTAAGAAGTTCTGGTTTCCAGTTGTTTTAAACCTTTTAAAAAACTTATTTCTTAGATTTTTTATTTTTTTTAATCTTAAATTATACCAAGGAAACTTATGTGGACGTTTCTTAATAGCTGGAATGTTATTTACGCAAATCTCAAATAAAAGAGTTTTAAAAATAGAGAAAGAACTATATACATCAGGGCAAACCAAAATTCTTTCCCAATCGATTTCAGTAATTAAGCTATTTATTATGGAAAAATCGAACCCAGAATAATTAAAACCAACTATTTCGGTGGCATGTGAATTCAAAAAGTCATAAAAAGCAAATCTGAGAACCAAAGGCACATGATGTTTATCGCAAAGAGATATAGGAGAGTAACATTCCTCAATTTGCAATTGATGTTATCACTTACAAATACAAGATCAAGAATTCTATTTAATTCATTAAAAAAATTATTGATTTGCATTAAGTTAAGACCTAGAATATTATCAAGGAGATACGACTCATGATATGCTGTAATATTCATTGGGGTAAGGCCAAAGTTTGAAAACGAACCGGACCAAGACACGTTGCATAGGTTAAAATCACCTAATACGCATAAGTGATTATCTCCTAACTTATTCGTGACTAATGAGCTAATATTATTAGCATGCGCGCAGTACAGTTCATTATTACTGTTTGGAGGAATGTAGGAAACCACGAAGTAAAGAGAACCCTTAGAAGAGGGCCCACTAATACAAATACAAAGTTGGTCAATAAGAGAGTCATTATTAGCTAAATCAACATTATATGAACACAACTTCCTCCGAACGGCAATAAGAACTCCACCGCCTCTTATACAGACAGTTTTTATCATATCTCTGTCCTTTCGGTACACATTATAAAACTTAGAGTCGAACAATTCTTCATCCAAAAAATGTCCATTAAGCCATGTCTCAACAATTACGTAAATGTCATAATCCAATTGAGAGCTATGAGTATGAACAGCTTCAACCTTGGTCCGAAGACCAGATACATTCTGAAAATACACTTTTAAGCTAGTACTACATCCAATAATAGCATTAGATACATTTATGTTAGTCTCTGTTGATCTTCTTTTCGAAAAAAACGAAAAGGGCGCAGACTAACGTTAGCAGGCCAAATCTCTGGTGAAAGAAGCTTTTCATAAAGTGGCAGAGATACACCTAACTTAAAATTAATCCTATTAGCTTTAACAGGCGGATTCTGTTTTTTAACTTAAGCATAACATGAAAGTTGTTTTTTGTTTATACCAGCATGCCTAACTACGTAATCAACAATATTTTCTGCTGTTACGGATGGAAGGAAGGAGGACAAGTGAAACCATCTCTTCACATCCGCCACCTCCAAGCAGCGTTGCCATTTTAGCCGTTTTCCGGCTAGATTTAACAGGTTGCGACAGCAAACAGCCGGAAAAAATTCGATTTAGCCGGCAGCCGATTTTTTAGCCGTTTTGCAAAAAAAAAATTAGCCGTTTTTAGCCGATTTTGGTCTTCGCCTTATTTTATTAAAATTCAAATATACAAGTTTTTAATTTTACAAATTTAGTGCTCCAAAATCTATTAGAAATGGCTAGTCTTATCTCTGAGAAAATTTTCATGTCGGACTGTGTTATATAAAATTGAAAAACAATCAGATAGTGAGCCGATTTCAATGTTTTTTGTTTTAAGCGAGTGACCCAAATACACATAAACTGGGACGCGTCATTTTAGCAGATTAAAAAGTTACAAGTTTTGATGAAATTTTGCAGAATTTTCATAATTTTTACACCAAGTGTATTGTTTGTTAAGTAATGAGCTACATATTCATAAAAAATAATAAATATTAAATAAACTAAAGAAAAATAGGCAAAACTTGCTTCAATTTTGCGTCCCAGTTTATATTTGGGAGAACGTAGCGGGAATTTTCTTCATAAAATTTTTGTTATGAATGTCTTAAATTTAAGTGTGAAGTTTTATTCGCTACACTTAGAAAATAAAAGGGCACGAATTTCGATGTAGAGCAAAACTCTCTGGGAAGACAATACATGGTGCAAACATACTTTTTAAATTTTATAAAATAAAACTGCAGTAGTTTTCATCTTATGTGGATAATTCTTGTGACAAATACATAGTTTCGTGATTATATTTTTGTATATATATTTTTAGCAGCACCACATCTTTATCAGAAAATTCCGAGAATCCAAAAATTGGTACTGTTACAAGTTGCAGGCATCATTTTAACTCGACCTCTTTCCTGTCTCACGGATAATGGTACATCTTTCAGAGGTTTAAAGATATTTTGCGTCAGCAATTTGTTATCAACCTACGTACCCTACCTCGGAAAAGCAAAAAACTTTATATTCGAACGTTTGCTCAGGTGTACCGAATTCTGGCAGTTTGGAAACGCGCAACACTTTTAATATTTTCATGCAGCTTCAAATTTTTTTCTACTTTTTTAAGAAACCAAAATTTTTCTGCTAGTGAATCTGGTGGCATGATTTTAGTTAAATGTCATAAACTTGTTAAAAGTGAAGTGGTCGGCAACAACAACGAATGTCAATAAATTAAACGACCTTCTGCTTTCACAGCTTTACGTGTTCATTTCTCAAAATATTGCCCTCCGACTAATCAAAAGTGTCATACTCTCAGCTAATATAGCAATTTTGCGGGACAAAAAGCAACCTACTGAAAATGATCCAATATTTATAGGAAGGCAAAATTGTTTAATAGAAAAGAAAGCGCCATAAGTTTGTAATTTATCTCTGTTTTTATATTTAAGTAATACAAACATGACTTCTGATGTAAAGCTTAGCTACGTATAACGACAGTTTCCTTTGTTAAAGAAAAATAAAGTGGTGTACAGCTTAGCTACGTATGAATAATCTTTATTAACCAAAAAAAAATTCAATGGATTTACTACTCTTTCTAATTGTAGTTTATGTATTTAAAAAAAAATTTAATTCTGGTTGAAACATTTTAGCCGTTTTTAGCCGTTATTTTTGTCCAATCTAGCCGGTCGCCCTGAAAAGTTCTGGCAACACTACCTCCAAGTCAGTGTTAGAGCTCATTCCAGTGACAATCATCTGTTTGCGTTGTTTATTTTTTCCCCTACCCTCTTTCCAATCCGAATGCGCAGTGAATTCGTTTGTTTCAGTAGCTGGGTGAGCAGAAGCTGAGAACGAAGAAGACGATGAGGAATATGTAAACGCAGTAGCAGCACTAGACGAAGGCACAGAATTAGTAGCCATATCACCAACAACAGATTGCGCATAAGTCAAAGTAGTGAGAGCAGTCGTAGTCTCAGAGTTTACTGTGGAAGCAGGTAACTCAGCTCTATTAGCATTAGATGCAGCAACAATAGGCACGATATTCGGCTTGGTGACAGAAATTGTTTGCGCTAACGATGACTTAGAGCCAACAACAGTAGATGTAGATGAATTATTAGCAGCATTGTCGGCAAGAAAAGACGAAGCAACTGAAGTATTGATAGCAGGTATCAGCGAACTAGTCTGAGCAGCAATAGGAGCAGGCGAAGCAATAACAACTTCTCCACTGATTAATTTCACTACTAAGCCTTTAAGGTCTTTAGTTAAATAAGCAATCGTCGAAGCCAAATTCGATGTACAAGTTAGACAATTGTTGCAATTAAAAACAATGTTTTCATTATTAGCAAGTAAATCAGAAAGATCTTTATTGTCGATTTTAGCACAGATTTTATGAAATTTGCTTTTGCACACTTGGCATGAGATTTCATAGCCAATACGAACGGATTTAAAGCACTTAGAGCACGTAAGAGTTTCCATAGCGGCAGCAAAATAAAAACACGTCTTATCACTCCGACGACTTGATGCAATGATAAATGTATGCTCCCTCTTTTTAAGGGCCTCCATTCAACTAGATATTGTGCCGCTTTAATTCTTGCAACGCTTTCACAAAATTCCACCACATCCTCTTTAGCTACTTTTACAAAGCCTCGGGAAATGTCCGGCCTTTCGCTCATGCATTCCAACAGTTTTTCGTATTGCGAGCGATTTGTTGTGATCTTCGACTTGCTAATTTTGTAAACATTTAATAATAAAATTTTTTTGTTTCTTTTCACACTTCAACTTATATACATATTTTTGCGTTTACACACTTTATTTTATTGATATTTTAATACAATTTGTTTCGCTCCGACACGAGTTGCTATTCGTACAAAATTTCCGACAAATACATAAAAATTACAGCTACGTCGGGTTCAGGCATACCAACATTACGAATTTCGAAGATGGCCTACGAATTTCGAACCTACGATACGACAACACGGATTTCAGCATACCAATTTTACGATTCGTAGCAAAATTGAATCTACGACGGATTACAGCATAGGGCTGAATAACAAGAGACAGCAAAAAAGATGAAGTGAGCGAGATGAGAGGAAGAGAGAAATATGTAGCATTTCCAGCAACAAAACAACCAGCACAGGGTCGCATTTATTTTGCTATGCTTTTTTGCAAAATATATACATGGGTTTCGACGTTGCATATTTTGCAGCGATGGGAAATGTTGTTTCCCATGTATTTTGTTGTTGTGTGTTCGCAAGTTATGCAATCCGTGCTACGTGCAACGGCTTTGCAAGATTTCGAGAATACTCCTATTGTTTTAATAGGGTTGCCATCTGCGTTTAAAATTATGATATTTACACCGTTCTCCAGATTTTCAAAACTGAGGTGTCAAATGAAAGGGCTTGGTCTCTGCATGTGCAGTAAGGATACATGTTTTTAATAGAGTTGCCACCTGCGTTTGCAATTATGATATTTACACCGTTCTCCCGATTTTCAAAAATGAGGTGTCAAATAAAAGGGGTTTCCCTCTAGATGTGCAGTAAGGATATATTTTTTTGAGAGGATTGCCACCTGCGTTTAAAATTCTGATATTTACACCGTTCTCCCGATTTTCAAAAATGAGGTGTCAAATAAAAGGGGTTTCCCTCTAGATGTGCAGTAAGGATATATTTTTTTGAGAGGATTGCCACCTGCGTTTAAAATTCTGATATTTACACCGTTCTCCCGATTTTCAAAAATGAGGTGTCAAATAAAAGGGGTTTCCCTCTAGATGTGCAGTAAGGATATATTTTTTTGAGAGGATTGCCACCTGCGTTTAAAATTCTGATATTTACACCGTTCTCCCGATTTTCAAAAATGAGGTGTCAAATAAAAGGGGTTTCCCTCTAGATGTGCAGTAAGGATATATTTTTTTGAGAGGATTGCCACCTGCGTTTAAAATTCTGATATTTACACCGTTCTCCCGATTTTCAAAAATGAGGTGTCAAATAAAAGGGGTTTCCCTCTAGATGTGCAGTAAGGATATATTTTTTTGAGAGGATTGCCACCTGCGTTTAAAATTCTGATATTTACACCGTTCTCCCGATTTTCAAAAATGAGGTGTCAAATAAAAGGGGTTTCCCTCTAGATGTGCAGTAAGGATATATTTTTTTGAGAGGATTGCCACCTGCGTTTAAAATTCTGATATTTACACCGTTCTCCCGATTTTCGAAAATTAGGTGTCAAATGAAATGGCTTCGCCTCTTTATGTGCAGTAAGGATATATTTTTTTTAGTATTTACACCGTTCTCCCGATTTTCAAAAATGAGGTGTCAAATGAAAGGGCCTAGCCTCAAGATGTGCGGTAAGGATTTATTTTTTGAATTGGGTTGCCACCTTTTTACAAATTATAAAATCTGCACGGTTCGTTGGATAAAAAAAAATATTAGGCGTCAAATGAAAGGGCTGGGCCTGGAGACGTACAATAAGGATTTATTTTTTGAACAGAGTTGCCGCCTGTCTACAAAATTATAATATTTACATCTTTCGCATGATTTTCAAAAATGAGGTTTAAAATGGAAGTGCCTGGCGTTTAGAAGTGCACCAAGATTTTTATTATTGAAAAGGGTTGCCTTCTATCAAAAAGTTACAATGATTACATCATTTGCCCGGTTTTAGAAAACGTGGGGTCAAATGAAGAGGCTTTGCCTACAGGTGTGCAAAAGGGTTTATATTTTTTGTAAATGCTGTTTTCGCCAACTAGTTAGGGCATTGCTATGCAGATGGTTGTTCTTACCAAAGCGTGTTAAAATTGCTTTTGCTTATGCATGCATGTGTATGTATGTATGTACTTTGGTTGCAGATGGCTGTTTTTACCAAAGCATCTTAAAATTACGTTTGCTTCTACATGCATATGTATGTATGTATATACTTTGGTGCGTTTATTCATATCTACTTACATATGTACATTCTACAACTATGCATGCATGAGAACAAAATTTTGTCGATGGTGTTATTATTTTCTTCCATATAGGCTGTTGTTCACAAACGAAATTTTGCTACCCAACATATGCGAAAGCTGTTTGCTTAAAAATATTTCTACGTACTTGCAATTATTGTGAGGGCTATTGAGGTAGAACATCTAGAGGTCAAGCCCTTTCATTTGACACCCCATTTTTGAAAATCGGGAGAATGGCGTAAATATCATAATTTTAAACGCACGTGGCAACCCTATTAAAAACTATATCCTTACGGCACATCCAGAGGCCAAGCCCTTTCATTTGACACCTCACTTTTGAAAATCGGGAGAACAGTGTAAATATCATTATTTTAAACGCAGGTGGCAACCATATTAAAACATATGTGACCTGGTCTACGGAAAGGGGGCTTAGGTGTCAAAAAATCAATTTTCACTTTTTGGTTGATTCGGATGGAAGATGAGATGCTTTTTCACGTGGTGAAAAGCAGAAAATCCTAACTTGCTTAGAAGTGTACTAAAAATGTAGAGAAAGAAGAGTAAAAACGAGTAAACGAAACGAGTTGCTTACTTTTAAAAGCTTTTTCACAGAAAACTAGTTTTCGCACGTAAGCTCCCTTTTCGTAGACCAGGTCACATATATACTTACTGCAAACGGTGCAAATCTTATGCAATTAACAAAATTGCCTTCGTATAGAATAGTATCTCTAGCCTAGGGCTGCCATAATCCTGAACCCATCGACCAGGACACACTGAAAATAAAATTTCGTAAAAATGCTACGAAAAACTTTCATAGGCTTGGTTTTGTACTTACAACGTACGAAACTTTCGTTCATAATACGAACACATTTTGCACAAAAAAACAAGATTTTACGAGCGATTCGTAAATATAACGAAAGGAGTTTCGTAAGGCTTTTTTTCAGTACAATTTAGAAAACTTTCGTTTATTTTACAAAACACTTGCGTAAATTACCGAACAAATCTCAGTACCAATAATTTTGTATTTTGTACGAAAGCCTTCGTAATATTTACCATTCTAAAAGACTTACCCAATAAGGACTGAAAAAAGTGCTTCCCTGCATGCTTCCTAGGGGTTTCCTATTTACAATTTACAGGAATGCACTTAAGTACATGTTTATATTATTTAGCATTACACTTCTTCAAAAGGTCTTCAGAAGTACGTCCTACAAAAGCCCTTCTGGAAGCTCTCCTTTGAGTAGCAAAAGCAGAAGCCCTTCAATTTGTGTCACTCCGTACAAAAATGGAAGGGCAAAGAAATGTCTTTTTGCTTTTTGGAAGAGATTTTAACTCCTGAAATTATCTACTGCGTAGTATGTTCGAACCCTCAGCCGTATACCTGTTCAGCAACTTGCACTTTTTTGCCGAAGCTTTCTGTTGCGAAAACTTACTTTTCGTACCGAACTTTCCGAACCCTGTTGATTTTACAACTTTTAATTATCATTGTAAATATGCTCGTATGTACATATATTGCGTTTTTTCAGTACCTTTCCACGGTTGTTTTAAATTGACATTTTTAAGTACGGAGTTTGATTTGCTTGATCGCGTTATTTACGTTTCAGTTTTTGTTAGAGTCCGACCGATTAATCGGCATCGGCATCGGCTAGTATCGGCACAAAATTGGGCATCGGCATCGGCATCGGCCTTTTTTCGTCGATTCTTTGGAATTTCTTTTCAAATGTTCAGGTGATTTTACAACTTTTAATTATCATTGTAAATATGCTCGTATGTACATATATTGCGTTTTTTCAGTACCTTTCCACGGTTGTTTTAAATTGACATTTTTAAGTACGGAGTTTGATTTGCTTGATCGCGTTATTTACGTTTCAGTTTTTGTTAGAGTCCGACCGATTAATCGGCATCGGCATCGGCTAGTATCGGCACAAAATTGGG